AAATATTCTGAATTTGAAATATCAAAGGTTTACAACATCAGATTCCAAAGGTTTACATATTTGAGTTTGTGCCAAAGACTCAATTCCTTTATAAATTGACTGTAAGAAAAAATAGAAAAATAGAAAATAGAATACCTTTATTACATCTTCCATCATGTTATAAGCATCTAATATGTCGAGGTCTCGTTTTTGCAAAAGTTTTAGTTTAAAGTATCTTAAAATTTTGTGCTTTTAAGATTTGTTCCTTTTAATTTTGTATTTTCCAGGGGGGGGCAGGCCCCCCCTGGAACTCCCAGGGGGGGCAAGAGGACTACTGACCCCCCCCCTTATGTACGCCACTATATATATATGTTTTTAAAATAAGTTCAGAACACTTTATATTGTTTATTTAATAAAGTTAATAAACCATGGATGACAATAGAACTAAAAAGAATTCACAGAAAAAAAACAAGAATTTTGGAGAAATCGCAAAAGTCCTCTTTGGAAAACCCTTAAAAAAAATTTTAACTGTAAAGAAAGCAAATTGTAAAAGATTTTATACATTTTTGATCAAGCTTTGAACTCCAGCCCCTCCCGATGATACAGTCTAGTTAAAAAGATAGGTTTGCAAGATGCTATAAATCAAAGTAGAATGTCTTAATGATATTTTTGACGAAGATGGAGCAGACTGTGTTGCTGAACACTTTGCCAGGATATCTCAAGAATATGAAACTAAATATAGCTTGGGCCTTTGGGCCCCCTCCCCATAATCACTTTAGCTGATCCACAGCTGGATTACAATCCACTATGTCCCCATTGGCAACCGGTGGAAATAGTGTTATGTGCATGATATTCTTGTCCGATGTTACAGTTTTAGTGACCAATACAAGATAAAAGATTTTAGCGAGGGGGGGCAAGATTTATGGCCCCCACTGGCTGTTTTTTGTTTACCCTGGAATTTTTTTACAGAGTCTAAAAATAATTTATTTGCTTGAAAAACTAACTTTAACTTTTTAACTTTAACAAATTATCACATAACTCCATCGAGGGGAGGAAGGCCAACCACAATCTCTAGTGCGAACCACATTCTCATCATTTTCTCGTCCGAACCACATCGAAATCCTTGTACTTTGAATATTATTTTTTTTAAGTGTCCGATCCTTGAAAATAAATACATTTTTTAAAAATATGGCGACGTTAGGGCATAGATGAAATATCAAATTTTCCCAATTAAATTTTAGATTTGTGTAAAAATGAAAATGCTCCATAAACGATGTTCTACAAAAAAGCGTCTGTATCTAGAGCCCTTTCTTTCGCGGAAAATGCCGCAAAACATTCTCAAACTCGATGTAAACAACTTTTTGTAATATTTCAGCTGAATTTGGGTTAGAGATATGACTTACAATTTTTATATGATTAAATACTGTTTGAATTCATAGGGTTGTGACCAATTAATTGTAGCAAATGATTTGAATAATATAAATTGAACATTATTTTTTCTATAATTTTAAGCATGCGGCAGGCAGTAGTGATCTCTTAGTGGGGACAACAAATCTACCTTATTTGTAAATAAATCAGAAATCAATGATTATTTTGTATGGGTTGAAATGGAAAGATTAAAGACCATGTTCACGCGAATTCTTTGGTATAAATTTTTATTTGTGAAAGTTATCCATTTTGGAGGCAGAAGAGATTCAATTTTTAACCTAAATAATGTTTGACATCATTCTCGTGGATTTGAAGATTCCAACATCTCAAAATCCTTGGAAAACTTTATTCTAGTCATGTTTTATGCCCTAACGTCGCCATATTTTTAAAAAATGTATTTATTTTCAAGGATCGGACACTTAAAAAAAATAATATTGAAAGGACGAGGATTTCGATGTGGTTCGGACGAGAAAATGATGAGAATGTGGTTCGGACTATAGATTGATGTAGTTGGCCTTCCTCCCCTCCTCCATCACAGCTAGCCAGCCAGTGGCTTAACTATGTGTGTGGGTCTGTTCTAGAGAACGATTTTTGGACCCCCTGCGCTGCGGACACATGGCCTTAATTATTTCCATGTCCTATAAGATTACTATATATTTAGGGTTAGGTTATGGACATAGGGGGGCCAGCGCCGCGGCTAGGACAGGCTAGGGGGCTGGGTGCTCGGCCACATGGTCAGTTATATCCTTTTCTTACATTTAAGATCCATGTACAAAATTGATAGGAGAGGGGGCGGGGGAGTCTAAAAATCATTCTCTAGGATATTACCAAATTTTATATATTAACAGGAAATTTATACAAACCTTTGTTATTGTCAACTCTTACGTTTTAAACGTAGTTTTTTTGTTCATTCGAACTATTTTTATGTCTATTTGAACTTTTTTCTGGTCAATTTGAACTATTTTTGTGTTCATTTGAACTTTTTTTGTGTTCATCTGAACCATTTTTTTTGTCACATTTCAACAAATTTTTTGTCCATTTGAACTATTTTGATGTCCATTTGAACTATTTTTTATCCATTTGAACTATTTTTTTTTGTCCATTTAAAATATTTTTTTGTGTATACGAACTATTTTTTTTGTTCATTTCAACTAATTTTTTTTCATTTGAACTATTTTTTTGTACATTTGAACTATTTTTTTGTCCACTTGAACTATTTTTTTTTGGTTCATTTCAACTATTTTTATGTCCATTTGAACTGTTTCATTTGAATTTTTTTTTTGTTCATTTAAACTATTTTTGTGTTCATTTGAACTATTTTTTTTGTCATTTTCATTTGAAATATTTTTTTCTCATTTAAGCAATTTTTTTCAATTGAACTATTTCATTTGAACTATATTTTTAAGTTCATTTGAACTATTTTTGTTCATTTAAACTATTTATATGTTCATTTGAAATATTTTTTTGTTCATTTGAACTATTTTTTTGTTCATTTGAACTGTTTCTATGTCCATTTGAACTATTTTAATGTTCATTTGAACTATTTTTTTGTTTATTTCATTTAAATATTAATTTAGTTCTTAAATGCAAATATAGTTCAAATGATTAAAAAAATAGTTCAAATGATTAAAAAAATAGCTCAAATGAGCAATTTATTTACTCGTTTGAACTATTGTTCATTTCAACTACTCACTTGGTACCACGTGCAGTAGTTGAAATGAACAATAGTTCAAATGAACAATAGTTCAAACGGGAGTAGTTCAAATGAGATAGCATCTCTGCGCAGAATATATTTTGAATGCCGCATCTTTTCTTATTTTAAATAAATTCCGGCAGAAAAATAAACACTGTGTTCTATGATATGTTATCGAAAGGATAGGCTGTCAAACTTGAACCATTTGTACATAATCTCTATGTACTAAATTGATAAACCGGGGGGGGGGGGGCCAAAAAGCGTTCTGGGTGGCCGTTCTAGTACACCCCCCTATCAATTTTGTACTAATTTTCTGCAAAATTATTATTTATTTTTCATTATTTTAAGGAAAGGTTAGGTTAAGACAATTTCTGGACCGAGCGCTGCGGCTAGGGGCCGAGCGCTGTGGCTAGGAGCCAAGCGCTGCGGTTAGGTGGACACATGACCTAATATGTGCATGTGTTACATATGAGATCCAAGTACAAAATTGATAGGAGGGTTGGGAGGGGTCCAAAAATCGTTCTCTAGGAAATTACCAGCATTCCTCTAAGAGAACCATCTTCTGACGTAAAATTGTATTAGATCTTAAAATATCAATTCTAATAACACTCCCATTAAGCTGGGTAGTTTGAGTTGCGTTGTATGTTTTGCGGTTTTAGTTGTTAAGAGACGTAGTTATTATGTATGAGCTAGGAATTCAAAGAAAATCTCTTTTTCCATTCCTTCTATAATTAAACCCGATTGTATCGTTTTCCATATATGCTTGGGTCACAGAACCTGTAGAAGGTTTGATTCAGCACAGCTTAAACTAGGACATCATTGGTCATCTTTCTGTAAAGTCACAGCTTAGTGAAGTCGCAGCCGCTATAGTTATATGAGTTATATACACTTTCAGAGTGCGACTGAAAATGGCAGCTGAAGTAAGGTCTCCCTGTCGCAAACCTCGAGACAAATCCAGGGAAAATATTTGATAATTTTATTGTCATTAACTTAAACAATTTTAAATCGTTTTTAGATGACCTAGACCTACGACCGATATAGAATTATTTTTATAAGAAGCAATATTTTTGTCTAAAACCTTTTCTTTCCAAAACCTTATTGCTCATTGTTAGTTTCAGCTTTTGTGGGAGGAAACCCAAATTTTAAAGAACACGGGTCTGTCCTAGTATACGATTTTTTATGACCTTTATTTTTTTGTTATTTAGGGTTAGGTTAGGTTAAGATACTTTCTGGGCCGAGCGATACTATAATATTTTCTATCAAAAATACTAATCTAAAGAGGCTTTAAAGACAGTATTTTACAAAAAAAATCGAATAAATTTGTTTCTTCCTGTATAAAAACTTTGAAGATTGTTTTTTTGTGAAAGCATTGATTATAAAGGGACAATTAGCGTAATATTAAAGTTTTCAATGGTAATGCTGTGTATCGGGCATTAATATCTTTGCATAGAGGATCACTTGAAATTACTCTTACAGTCCATTAAAGAGAAATAAGAAAATAAAGAATTAAAATAAAAATAGGAATTTCAAGGGGTTTCATTGATCAGTCATTAAAGCTGAAAAATATTTGATTTTAGAGTTGAGAGGATGGATGATAATAATGAGGAAATTATTCTCAATCAATTAAACTCTCTGCCACCATCCAAAGAGCTGCTTCAACAATATCAGGTAAAAAAAATCAATGGGGTAAAAATTTTATTCCCCCAAGACCCAAATATGAGAGACAGGATAAATATCTCTTGGATAGAATTCAATCAGTTTCAAATATACAAGATACATCAAGAAGGTATCAAGATATTAATAATCTGGAGTTCTTGATCTCGAAATCCAGTTAATGCACTAATTAATTTTAGGATCAATGCTTGATAACTCATTAAACTTATCCCTGCTTGATCCCGAAAAAAGTTCTTACTTCAGAGCTGGGAATTTTTGAATGGTGAATATCGGGATTAATAATTGATCCACTCTTTTTCTTAATCTCCAGATTAAATTATGCTTGTTCTCCTTTTGTTATTAATCTCCATATTAATTAACCGATCGGGATTAAGGATATCCCATTCTAAAGTTTTCAGCTCAGTATTCAGACTTCCAAATTTTCAAATAACCCTCCATTTAAAAAGTGGTATAAACGATTCACAAATAAAACCTTCTTTACATAGAAGATAGTTATTATTTCGTTATTAGATCTGAATATAACATTGATACTGTAACAATAGTTCCACTTGGGGTCAAGCATTAGCTTGGTTTTAAAAGTAGAACTAGAGTGGGTTGCTTTTTATAGGGGGAACATGCAGACAAAGTTAGTCTAAAATAAACATACATGAATTGATTTAACAACTAACTTATTTGGCAAAGACAATCTATAAAAAAGATTTAAAAGAGCATCAAAATGAAAATTAGCTCGCACAAAGTGTTGAATGTATTAAATCTTTCATGACATTTCCTTAATCCAGTTTAGTTTAAGACTTAAAATTTTTACTTATTTAATAAAAGTTGATTATAGGAAACGGGTTTTCGCATAATTTTCACATTTTCATAACGTTTTAGAAATACATTTACTGTCTTTGGATAGAAGTAAAAACTAAGCTGAGCTGAAAACTTTAGAATGGTGGATATCGGGGTTAATGCTTGATCCTCTCTTTTTGATAATCTCAAGATTAACATAATCTTGCAAGATCATCTTAAAAGTGTATGAAAAACGATAAAATTCATATTAATATTTAATCATCTGAGAAACTGTATCAGCCAATCAGAGAAAAGCGGGCAACCAATGAGAGAACAGAAATATTCTCATTCGAGAAAACAATAAACGGATATCCAAGGAGAGAGAAAAAGAGTGAATTAAGGACTAAAATGAAAAGTTTCCACAGTGGATAATCGGATCAAGAAGTCAGGATTAAAATTTATCTATTCTAAAGTTCCCAGCTCTGGAAACTTTTGTCTTGGATACATATAATCCCGAATTTTTGATCTCGATATTCACTGTGGGCACTAATTTAAGGATCAATGCTTAATATCTTCATATCAGTTATTCCTGCTTGTACGATTAGAACTGGATGTCGTATCAAGATTAAATTAATCTGTAGATAAAAAAATATCCACAATCCAATAGTTCAGACATATATGATTATTGATTAACTGACTTGCGGATTTTACAATATCCTGTCGAGGATTTTCATCCGCTAAATCGCCGAAATAAGTCTTTTTCCAGTTTTTTTAACTTGTTCTTTTCCTCTTTAGACTTGAAGCTGAGTTGATGGGTAAGAATGCGAGGATTGATGAACTGGAAAAGCAAGTTCTGCTCTTCAAGAATAAGTTCGTCTTGTTGGAGGCGAATGCGAAGAGAGGGGCGGCGGACAGAGTGACAAAGTCAGGCCGGAGTACAGAGAGAGGCAAGATTAATTTAAATTTGGGGTTTAGATGTTCTTAAAATGTCGTTTCCCCTCCTTCTTTGGAAAAAAAATTCCACAAAAGTTAGTTAATTTGTGGAGGATTTTATTTGCTGAATTGGGCCATATTTATTTTTTGTAGGAGAAATTAAAATAAATATTTGGGTATAAAGTGTCGAAAATGTCTGTTTTGATATCAAAGTTTTTTCTTTTTCTTTTTTATTCTTAAACTTTATCATCCTGAGTTAACAGTGTATAGAATTGGCCTACATTTTTGCAGTGCAACTCAGGACCCGACTTCAGATCTTCATAATTCTGCAAATAGAAATTTACTATAATATTTTCTATCAAAAATACTAATCTAAGTGTAATCTAAGTGTAATCTAAGTGTAATCTAAGTGTAATCTAAGTGTAATCTAAGTGTAATCTATGTGTATTCTAAGTGTAATCTAAGTGTAGTGTATTCTAAGTGTAATCTAAGTGTATTCTAAGTGTAATCTAAGTGTAATCTAAGTGAATCTAAGTGTAATCTAAGTGTAATCTAAGTGTAATCTAAGTGAATCTAAGTGTGTAATCTAAGTGTATTCTAAGTGTAATCTAAGTGTATTCTAAGTGTAATCTAAGTGTAATCTAAGTGAATCTAAGTGTAATCTAAGTGTATTCTAAGTGTAATCTAAGTGTAATCTAAGTGTAATCTAAGTGTAATCTAAGTGTAATCTAAGTGTAATCTAAGTGTAATCTAAGTGTAATCTAAGTGTAATCTAAGTGTATTCTAAGTGTAATCTAAGTGTAATCTAAGTGTTGACTAATTGGAAAATTTTACTCTGATGAAATTTATCTATTTTCAAATAAGTTTCCCTCGGAATATTAAAGAAAAAGAAAATGTCTAAAATTTACCTTTTGTAAAATAAACTCAGAAATATCTTACGTTTTATTTTTTAACAAACTGGAGGTTTCAGTAAACAAGTTAATCTTACTAAGCAGTATTGAAAGCTAATGGATGGATGGATTGATTGATTGATGGTTAGACTATTGAATGGATTCAATGGATTGACTAATTCATGGAATGACCGAGATTTAAAAATATCATTGAAAGCTAATGGTATGATAAATTGACTGATCTAATCTCATTTGAGTTAATTGATTGATTGACTGATTTAATGGATTAGTTGATTGACTATTTTCTTGTAGATGGGTCTCTTTCTCGAGGAGGGGGTTTGCGTGCTCAAAGGGACCAAAAATCAGAGGTTATTCTTTATATTTACTACAAATGATTTAATGCATAAACCTACGATTCATACAGAGTGTCACTGATTAAGTGCGTTAAGGCTTTTAAGTCGGCATAAGCCTACATTTTCGAATAAAAGGCCTACGTTTTGAAGGTTCCGTTGACGATCCCCCATTTATGGGGATAATACCTTCCAGGAACATATTTTAACACAATACAACGTTGTTTAGCAGGATTCAACGCTTTAACGTACTTTTTTTCGAAGACACCCTGTTTGTTTGTCTATTCTGCTCGAATAATCGTCGTCTGATCGTTTTGTGAATCGTACTAAAATTTGACCGTTCAGGAATCCCCCCCCCCCCAAAAAAAAAAAGTGTACAGCAGTTTCTGGGAGGAACCTAGTTTATGCACCTTGTCGTTGAAACATGGGCCCGGGTATATTCTGTTGCAAAGAACAGATAAATCATATATTTATATATTTATTTTAGGTTGAGTACCTGAAGAATCAAATCCTACAACAGGAGCAGCTGCATAAGGTGATTTTATTTAAAAGGGGGAGTTGTTATGATCGTCGTCTGGGGATATTAAAGGGACGGTTAGCGTTATTTCAAGCGAACCTCCGTGAATAACGTATGAATTAGATATGACCAATGACCATGGACCGTTTATAATCTTGAAAACTAATTAATTTAATTGTTTTTTATCTCTTTAAGAGGAACTTGCGCATTTCTACTGCAGGATTAAAAAATTCGAGAATATCCAAAATCCACAAAAACAAACCGACAAAAAAGTTCAAATTAAAAGTTAAAGTAAAACCGAGGCCTAGTGATAAAAAATGTTCATTCTGAGTCGCGTAATTCTAGATTTACATGCTTACTTTCTAATATGAGTTTTAATTTTATGTTTAAATGTAGAATTGATTCATCTAAGTTTTTGGTCAGAATTCTAATCTATTTGACATGTACGATGTCTCACAAAGTATGACAGTTGAGGCATGTTAGTAGTCTTCGGATCTTTGAAATCATTTAATTTATTTAAAAAATCTGAACAAAATTCGTTAAATATTTAAATGCTAGAATTTGGGTTGAGACAAAGAAATGCCGTAATGTATTTCAAAGATGACCTTATTCTTATACTAACTTTCTGCAAAATTATTATTTATTTTTCATTATTTTAGGGAAAGGTTAGGTTAAGACAATTTCTGGACCTAGCGCTGCGGCTAGGGGCCGAGCCGAGGGTTGTCCCTTAACTGTAATGTTTTGTGGGACACCCTTGATATTGATGCAAACTTGTGGGACACCCTTGATATTGATGCAAACTTGTGTTCAGATTGAGATGGCTCAAGAGCGAGATGTGTTTAAAAAGAACGAAGACTGTTATAGATCTAACTTGCTCCAATTAAACTTAAGGAATACAATTCAGATGAATCATTCATTACGTCAGCTGATAGCGCTAGTTTACCCCACCTGAGCTGGGGACTTATGTGTTGAGAACTCACAATCCCGATCTCAATATCCACTGTGTTCACTTTTAATTTTAAGATCTATAAAAACAATACCATTCCATTTCTTAGTTATTACTCCTCTGATCAAAGCTTCCTTCAACCCCTGACTGGGTATGATTACCATGCAGGATATCAAATTTAAAGATTAAATTAATCTGAAGATTAACAAATAACGAGATCAAAAATTAATCTTGATATCAACAACACAAATGTTCGCAGCCCTGAATCCAAAACTTTTTATTTGTTGCGATTAACGGTGTTTTCCTCTGAATAATCGATGCTAGTAGCAGAATATATTAAAATATTTTACTTAATCCGTATAAATATAAGAGATACGAATGTGCTTTCTGCCAGTGCTTAGAATCTATTTAATTTTGATGCGGATCCGGATCCTGGATCTGCACTGGAAATACGTATCTGGATCCAGGTCATTTCTGTAAGATTTATTGAATTTTTTAACAAAGCAGAATTTTCCATTTTTTTTTGTCTTATTAATTTGTTTGCTTATTTTTATGCTAAAACTTGATAGATCATTCAGAAATCTGGAAATTTTTATTATTTCTCTTTTTATTCAAATCTTTTTATTGATCAAAAGTACAAAAATAACAAGTAAATTATATATATATATATCAAAAATAGGTACATTTTGATTTTAATATTTTACACGGAAAAAATGTTTATTTATGTGGAAATCTTGAAGATTTGGTAAATGACACAATTTTCATTTTTATTTTGAAGTTAAGTAAATTCAGTAATGACAGTAAAATGAGCTGACAGCCTCTAATGATTAATGATTAATGGAGGCTCGTAGGGATATGATTCCAATGGTTGAAGAAAAAATAGGAACAATAAAAAACAATAAGAACAATAAGGCGATACACCATTAATTAGCAAATAGAGTCTCGTTTTGGAGTGTAACGAGAGGTGTTTTAAACATTAGCATCAATGATAGACCAATGTAGAACGAAAAAAATGCTTACAATGCACATTTTAAGGTTTTAGTGTAAAGTATAAGTGGAAAAGATCATAAGCAGAAACTGTGACGGGGATCAGAAGGAATTGCCAAAGAATACAAAAAATACAAAAATTGGAAAAATAAAACGATAAGGCGATTCGCCGTCAAGTACCAGTATTATCTCTTTATGAATTGTTGGCGAATTGTGTTTAAAACAGGGTAGATTAATTATATGAGGACTAGTTGCATGAGATCCATGGATTAACATAATCTGCGATTAGTATTTTACAGAAACATAAGATAGTCCATTATTAAGGACTAGTGAGAAGATATTTACTAGTTGTAGTGTATAAATGTCTCAAATCTAAGATCTTACAGTTCAATTGTTGTATTCAATTGATGGATTCAAGTATTCGAAGCATAAATATTTAAAACTCTAAAGCATTTAAATTGATAATTGGTGTAGTTTGAGTTTTCAGTTTTATAATTCAGTTCTTAGAATTCTCATTTGACCAATTTTTTAGGAGAATAATCTTGACACCTTATTTATAGCGTTTCATCGTGAATGAAAAGTATAAAAATGTTGAAGAATAACTGGAACGGTGTTTCACCAAATTACTGGAAAACAAAAATAAAAATAAACATAACAAATGGCGCTTCACCTCAATATTAGAATGTGCATGATAGAACTGCAGCTTTAACGCATAACCTGTGCTAACTTGCACTTCTTGGAAGAGCTGGACTCCTGATCTAGTTTACGTTTTTCGATTTCAAGGCCTTTAACCTTTGAGTCAGCACTGCACTTAATCAGATCATAGAGTACCATGAAGTACTTGATGGCCGCTCTGCCCATCCTTAGACGGGATTTATGTGGTTAGGTTTCTTGGATTGAATGAATGAACTTAGCTCATTAGATTTACGGTTCCTCGATATTTCTTCCATTTCCATTGCAGGCAGGTTATCAGGGTCCAGGTTTTCAGCAGGATATAGTTTGGATCCATAGCCAGGAGGGATGTTTGGCGGGGCATAGACGAGGTTGGGAAACTTGAACTTCGATGGAATAGGCAGATGTCCGGGTCTGGGGTAGTTCAGATCCATCTGCAACAAGTTAATATTAATTACGAACATACATATTAAAAATAATAGGAAATGGCTGAAATCGTTTAATATAGACAAGTTAATCTCTGCGAAAGTCAATTCTATATTGAGGATCCGTTAAATAGGCCATTCTTTTATCATTTTTGTACGCCATAAAAGTAACATTGAGTTCAAATTTAAACCAGTTAATAAACGCATTTAGAGCCAGATTTTTTTTCATACACCTGCATTTCCAAATATAGTACTTGGTATATATTATGAGAAGATTGTTAGACGAGAAGATGGGAATATTTCTGAATCCTAAAATGAAGTCTTTTTTTGCTAGTATTAAGCGTACGTCGGTCCAGTTAGGGATGAATATACTATACACCTCTAGTATAAATGCATTAACAATTCTACATTCGTAAAGTAAGTGCGATATAGATTCTATTTCAACTTGACAGAATGTACATTCTTCTCTAACTTCTCTATTAAATTTAGAAACAATCCTATTAGTTTTAAGTGTACCTCTAGTTATTTGATATTGAAACCATTTGAGTTTGTTATCAAAGAATAAATTTCTATTTAGGTCATAGCATCTTTCCCAAAAAAAATTGCCTTGAGTTGCACCTAGCTCCTCTTCCCATTTACGTTCCCTAATCTGTAGATTACTATTTGAATATTGAAGTTTTCTAAGAAGTGAGGTCCATTTGTTGCAGCCTTTTATTGAATAATTAATTATCTGAAGTAGGCTGGAGCAAATTTGGTTAGAATTTGTTGAAAGCATCCATGGGTAACCTGGGAGTGGGAGTGTAGGCTAATTTCAAGATGTTTTCTAAATGTTATTGAGAACACAAGGCAATTCAGTTCAATTCATGATTTAATACCAAGCGCGGGTAAACGGCAGGAGTTGCTATGACTATGAAAAATGATATAAACCCAGCTCCTTTACCCTATTAATCATAATAATTACATTGATTACAATTATTACTATCTGAAAGCATCTAGTAAGGTCGTAGTAAAAATATATTTCCAGGCTGAGTGGCTGCCCACCAATCTTCGAAACCAAGAGAATCTAAAAGCCATAAAGCTTGAAAATATATCAGGAAAACCCATCCCTCCCCTCGCTTGTGGTTGCTTGGCATCCAGTCTGGCTACCTTTTCAGAGCCTCCCCATATAAATTGATATATTTCAGATTCGATTTCTTTTAGTTTTTTCCTATCTAGTCCTGGAAGTACAAATGATAAATGAGACAATTTGGAGAGAAGTAGAGTCTTAACTATGCAGTTACGGCCTATAGGTGTTATAAATCTATATTGCCAGGACTTCATGATATAGCGCATTTCTTTAATCTTAGTTTCATAGTTTATGCTCATGTTTTCCAACATTCCATCAAATTCAACCCCAAGTAATTTGAATTTTTGATCCCATTTTAATGATAAATGTTCGCAAAGTTTGTAGTTAACATTTGGTATATGCCCAAAAACTACACATTGGGTTTTGGTTAAATGAATTTTGAGCCCGGAGACGCAATAAAAATCATTAAGTATCATGATAGCATTTTCTAAGTTATTGGCATCGTACTCTAGAAAAATTGAGCAGTCATCAGCATATAATGATAAAAGTATTTCTCGATTTTCGATTTTATATCCTGAAACGCTGGGAGATGAGCGAAGTTTAATACACAGAATTTCAATACTAAGTACAAATAGAGCTGCCGCAATTGGGTCACCCTGTCGACAGCCGCGGGCGACATTAAAAAATTCAGATATATTTCCTGCATGATTAATACATGCCTTGAAATTATGTAAAAGAATATTTATCCATTTTTTGAAGTTGGCTCCAAATCCAAAAAAGTTAAGAGTTTTATCTATGTATTTAAACGAAATTGAATCAAATGCTTTGTGAAAATCAATGAGTAATAATAAACCTGTCCTCTTTTTACACTTAGAGAGTTAACAAGTTCTTATTGCAATTTTTGGTTGATATTTTGCCATTCGGATCCGGATCCAGGAAACCAAAATCTTATGGATCCAACAGGGAAATATTTTTTCACGAAAATATATACCCCTGCCATACATTGAACTGTATATGTACCAGAATATCGGAGCAGAACACATGTTTAGCAGAATTAAACCGACAATTTCAAGATCTTGGGCGAACTGTCTTAAAAGAGAGAAATGAAAATAGGTAACTAACCTCCTAAAAGAAAATTATCATATCTAAAGGTTTGATTATTGAGAATCAATTAACGTATGTTAGGATCGATTTAAAAGGAATTTATGCAGAATTTCTATTAACCCTTCTTACATAGTGGGCATTGCATGATTTACAACGGTAACAGGGGCGTACAAGAGCATTTGTGTAGGGGGGCACTTTTTGCCTAATTTCAAGTGACCTTCCATTTATAGAGTGGCATGTCCGATGTACCTTTGAAACCTTCATTTCTCCATCGTTTCTTAAGCAATTGTAAAGGAACCACAAATGAAAATAATAAGTTTTCAAAATGGGAATCATGGATATTTAATGCAATATTTGATCAGACAAAGCTTTAGTATTGTTATGAATCAGAATTGAAATCACTTTAAGCCTCTATATTGATTAAACTCCTTTGTAGGTTCGTGAACTTTGGAGAAATGAAAAGAGAAATTTACAAAATGATTTTTAAAAAAAGATACTGAAAAACTTTAAAAGTACTGCCCCCAAATAAAGAATCCATGGGTTTTTTTCAATAAATCACCAGAGGCACTATTAAATGAGTCCCATCCCCCACCTGCTTGCCCCTTCTCCCAGGGGGGGGGGCACGCCTAAAGGGGCCCTTGTACCCAGCCCCCCCATAGTACGTCCCTGCAACCCTACCCTTGAAACTTTAGACTTTTCATCGAGTAAATAGAGCTTTGTTTGTAAATAGCTTTGGAATAATTTCAAACCTGGTGTACGCTACGGAGATTCTAAACCTGGTGTACGCTACGGAGATTCTTAACCTGGTGTACGCTACGGAGATTCTAAACCTGGTGTACGCTATGGAGATTCTAAACCCGGTGTACGCTACGGAGATTCTAAACCTGGTGTACGCTACAGAGATTCTAAACCTGGTGTACGCTACGGAGATTCTAAACCCGGTGTACGCTACGGAGATTCTAAACCCGGTGTACGCTACGGAGAGTTTGTAATCCGTTACATAGCGTCCCTTGAAAATATTGTCTTTTTTACGTTAAAAGTGGGTTTCAAACATTTGAAATTGAATTGTTTTTTTTTTCTCCGCCACTTCTAGTGAGTAACTATTGATACTTATTAAACTAAAGTGATAACAATTGAAAGCGTTTAAGGACATGTCTGACATTGTGAATCTCTCTTTAAATGAAAGTTAACTGGAAAAATTACGCTTATTTTGTAAAACTCGTTATAATTCAGTTTCACAAAGAAATTTACTTTACTAGGTTTTTAACTGAGAAATATGTTGAATGAAAACATTATTTTTCAAATCTTTTGTCAGGGATTTGGTAGTACAAAAAATAACTACTCCGGATTCTTCTTTTTGTCTTAAATTGGGTTAATAACTATTGAATTCTCAATCATTATTGTTATTATTCTGATTAAAACCTTGCATATTTTAAAGGGCCAATGAACGAGCTTGGTTAGAAGAAAAAACTAAACTCACAAGGTAAGCTAGAATAATGAAAAACAAAAACTTTAATCCAAAATTATGAAATCAAATCGCGGAAACAAAAACTATATTATTATGCGTGAGGGATTGGGGGATTATCATGAAAGATTTCGTATATTTTTCTATCTCCTAGATATAAAACTAGCTTTGCCTGCTGATCTATCTGTACAATTTTTCAAACCAAGCCACGAACAATCTTCTGGTTCTAACAAGTTTCCCAATCAAAATTTGAGGCAAATTGGTCAAGAGGTTCATGAGTTGTTATCGGACATTCAAGATACAGACTGACAAGCTGAAATTACAACTTATATTATATAAACAGAACTCGGACAGAACTCATTAAGTATTAACCCCTTTACCGATTTGCCCAAAATTTTGATTTGTGAACTTTATAGAAATGTTCAGAGCTTGGTTAAACAAGTCTTAACCTAAGAAGAGTCCGTATTTAATGAAATTGAGCCGCGTCTCAAATCCGCCAAAATCCGGTTTCAATTGAGCGTCGGCTTAAATTTTAAAGCATTGAATATAAATTTCAGTGGAACCAACCATATTTGAGCCGCGTCTCAAATTTAAGCCCTGCTCAAATTCTTTAAATTCGGCTTAAGGTTGACTTTTATTAGAAGTTTTCAGACCAATGTCGTTTTTCTATCTAGAAAAGTATTTAAATAAAAGTCGTATTTTTCTTCAGAAAACTAGAATATTTTGGAAAATTCGGAAGTCCCCTAGTTCCTGGTTTGATAAATGGAGGAAATTTGGAACAGAGGTCACAACATAGGAAATCAGGTTGGTATCTTGTTGATCGGAGAGGGAGGGGGGGGGGGGGGTAAAGGGTCCCCCCTTGAAGAAAATCCCAGATTTACATCATGGAAGGTGCCCAAAATATACGGATTTTTTCTGCCAACTACTTATCGCGGGGGGGGGGGGGGGTATAGGGTCTCCCTGAAATAACTCAACGAATTGCAACACATTTTTTTGAAGTATGGCATTTGTTAACCCAATCCAACATTTTAGAAGTTTAAAGAGACTGTCCCTGAAATTTGTATTGATGCTACATTCCCTTTTTACTGTTATCAGATCAACCATGTGGAAGATGTTGTCGTTTATTAGATTGAAAAGTGTTTGATTCTTACAAATTCATCAATTATTTCTGTTGCAAGAAATCCACAAGTCACTTACAGGCAGTGCTTAGGATCCGGATCCGGATCCGTTGGATCCGCAAGATTTTGGCTTCCTGGATCTGGATCCGGATCCAAGGGGTAAAATATCAACCAAAAACTGCAAAAAAACCTTTTTTACTTCTAAAACCAAAATCTGAACTTTTGAAAAAAAGAGAGATTATAAAAATTTCATAAAGTTTTGGGATAAAAATATGCGAAAAAAAATCGAACAAAAAATCTGAAAATTATTTTTTGTTAAAAAAATCAGTAAATCTTAAAGAAATGACCTGGATCCGGATCCATTTTTTTCCAGTGCGGATCCAGGATCCGGATCCGCATCAAGTGCATACAGTGAAACGACAATTATGTGTTTGAAAAGAAATCATGGATATCTCATTTATTCTTGACCAGACATACCAATCTGTAAATGAATAGTCAGTTTACGTTTTCATTCCAATTAAGACGATTTTCTTACCTATAAAAAAAAAATTTTAAATTGTAAAATTTCAATGAACTACCGTTTTGTTTTTCTATTGCTGAACTTTTACTTTTGGGGGGAATTAAAAAATATTTATTTTTATTCAGGAGAAAAGGTTCTGGTTCGAGAGATGACCAGACTTCAGACAGTGGTTCAAGATAGGGAGGAAACTATTCAACAATTAAGGTATATTTTACTAGACAGTGGTACAAGATAGGGAGGAAACTATTCAACAATTAAGGTATATATTGCTAGACAGTGGTACAAGATAGGGATGTAACTATTCACCAATTAAGGTATATATTATTACTAGACAGTGGTTCAAGATAGGGAGGAAACTATTCAACAATTAAGGTTTATATTACTAGACAGTGGTTCAAGATAGGGATGTAACTATTCAACAATTAAGGTATATATTATTACTAGACAGTGGTTCAAGATAGGGAAACAATTAAGGTATATATTATTACTAGACAGTGGTTCAAGATAGGGAGGAAACTATTCAACAATTAAGGTAAATATTACTAGACAGGGGTTCAAGATAGGGATGCAACTATTCAACAATTAAGGTTTATATTACTAGACAGTGGTTCAAGATAGGGATGTAATTATTCAACAATTACGGTAAATATTACTAGACAGGGGTACAAGATAGGGAGGAAACTATTCAACAATTAGGTACATATTACTAGACAGTGGTTCAAGATAGGGATGTAACTATTCAACAATTACGGTAAATATTACTAGACAGGGGTTCAAGATAGGGAGGAAACTATTCAACAATTAAGGTAAATATTACTAGACAGTGGTTCAAGATAGGGATGCAACTATTCAACAACTAAGGTATATATTACTAGACAGTGGTTCAAGATAGGGATGTAACTATTCAACAATTACGGTAAATATTACTAGACAGGGGTACAAGATAGGGAGGAAACTATTCAACAATTAGGTACATATTACTAGACAGTGGTTCAAGATTGGGAGGAAACTATTCAATAATTAAGGTGTATAAAAATAACTAGACAGTGGTTCAAAGGAGTGAGGAAACTGGGTCCGGATCCGCAAAAATAATAAGAAGAGATTAAATAAATAAAACCATCCTTATATCTTGATGGTAAGCATAAAAAAATAAGAAACCAATTTGACAATTTTTTATTTAGTTAGAAAATCTGTTTTAGAAGAATGTTTTAGGACGTTGACCTTGGGTCTGGATCCGGTTTCGAATCCGGATCCATTTTTTAAGGACGGAGTCTGGATCTGAAATTGGGAAATGAATGAGATTTTAGCTTGAAAGGATGAAAAAAGTATATTGTTGTAATTATGGGTGCACTGTATTTTTACCCAAAAATTTATTTATCTCCTCCTAAAAATCACTTCTTTTTCCCAATTCAGCGACTAAAACCCTAAAAAAAATACATAATTTCTGGGGGGAATAATTTTAAAAATGGGGAGGGGATTTTACAAGAAAATATACACCCCTGTTGTATTTGTTAGATCTGAGTTGAGTTTATCTGGCGGAGAGTTGGAGGAATTAAAGGTTAGATTCCAGAAAACAGTTAAACAGGAGAGGGAGGAGAAGAGCAGGAAGGAGAAGGAGATAAACCTTCTCAAGGATAGGTTGAATAAGCTGGAGATAAGGTAATACAATCCTGTTCTATTAAAGTAACTGTAAGCGTTTATGTTTATGTTTATGTTAGGATTATTTTCAGGACTCCTGGCGGAGTATATGAGAAAATTTCCGATTGTTGTCATGATATTCATATGGTTGCATATATCACATTAATATACAGAGTATATTATATTCAATAATTTCGAATATCCAGTGAATCAAGATTAAAAATAAAAATAAGGGACATTTATTTTTTTTCTTTTGGTAGAGTTTTTATTTTTTCTCTTCCTTGACATTTTTTCTTTTTTTTTATTTTTTGACGTTTTTTTTTAAATTTTTTCATAGATTTTTTTTTTTTTCTTATTTGGCCTTTCTGTTTTCTTTTAAAGTAATCTTTTTTCGGCTTCTTTTGTCCCAACAAAACAAACTAGATTAGAAATTTTTTACATATTCATCATATCTGGATTTAAAAGTATTTAACGTTGGTGCAGTTTTTATATCACAGGGTAAATCAATCAAAACCTTCCATACAAATATAACAATTCCCGATTCACAACGGTACCCTTAACAGTTTTGTCTGATCAAGTATGAATTATATAACAATGTTTTTAATTTTGAAAACTGATTATTTTCAATTGTGATATATTTTTTAAAGTCACAAGCGCATTCTACTAAAGAAAACCTAAAAAAATTATTAGAACGCAACACTTCTCAAGCCAGAAATATGACGGTATCTTTTACATTTTTAATAAGATTAAAGTTTCAACTTTCAAGGGTACCATTGTAAATCGGACATTGCATCTTTCACGTCTTTTTTTCTTTTCAAACTCAAAAAAAGACCACTCAACGGCTACTTTCCAAACTTAATTAAATTAACATTAAAATTGTGATAATATTTACCTTTCAGTTGTAATTTTATGGGTAACCCTGTATTTATCTCACATTTTTTTATTCATCCTGAAATGTACCTTCTAGTCCTCGAATCATTGTACGTCCCCAGTTGAAAGTAATTTTTAATACCACTACCTTAATAGTGCGTTCCCAATTTTTCATACGTCTTAATGATGCGTTCTCCATGTGCTTTTTTATTTTAATGCCTCTTATCGTCCTCATTGGTGAATCCTGATAACCTCTTAATCTCAATTTGTTTATTCATCTATTTTTCTATCTATCCATCTCTTTTTTATCTTTTCCACTATCTCAATCTTAATCTTTTTCATCTGTCTATCTAATCTTTCTATCTATTCATCTACCAAGTTTTTAATCTTTTCCGCTATCTTAATGTCAATCTGTCTATGTATCTATTTATCTTTCTTTCTTTTTAAATATCTATCTTTATATCTATTTATCTCTCCATCAATTTATTTTATTAATTACACTATCTCAATCTCAATCTGTTAATCCATCTTTCTTTCTAGCTTTCTATCTATTATTAGCTATCTTTCATATCGATCCATCAATTTTTTAATCTATTCCACCATCTCAATCTGTTTATCCATTTATCTATCTATTTATCTATCTATTTATCTAGCTATCTATCTATTTATCCAGCTATCTATCTATTTATCTAACTATCTATCTATTTATCTAGCTATCTATCTATTTATCTAGCTATCTATCTATTTATCTATCTATCTATCTATCTATTTATCTAGCTATCTATCTATTTATCTAGCTATCTATCTATTTATCTATCTATCTATTTATCTAAGTATCCATCAATCAACTAATATATTAATCTGTTTCTTTATCTATTACTATATTTTAAAATGTTTAGAAGAAAACGTGAGGCTTCAGGCTACCAGGCAGATATTCAGAAACTTAGGTAAAATTGAAGAATATAAGAACACAGGTGTCTTGCAACGGTTCATCTCCCTGAAACAATTTATCTCCCCTCATAACATACAGGGTGAGTCAAAAAAAAGCGTGATTTGCGGCGCCTGTTGCAAAATTGTACCTTTGGTTGTGAAACTCTCCTTTATGGTGTTTTTTCAATATTTTTGAAAATTTGTAATTTTTTTTGCTACTCTAATGGCCCAAAAGAAAATCCGCGAGTCTTTTTTTTCTCTCAAAATTAAAAGTTCAGAAAAGCAAAAATGTGTATTCATATTAATTTTTTTTCTCTAAATCTAAAATTTTATTAAGATTGAATCACAGAATCCCAGAAAATTGACAAAATTGTAATAAGAAAATTCGCAAGTTTCAATTCTGGTCTAATTTTTAAGGAAAAGTTATTTAAATTCTCAAGTTCCTTTCTTCTTAGTATAGTTGAAACCTTAAAAACCATTGAAAATCAATTTTTCCGTAAAAATTACACCAGAACTGAAAATTGCGAATTTTCTAATTACAATTTTGCAAATTTTTTGAGATTCTGTGATTCAACCTTTTTAAAATTTTAGATTTCGATAGAAACAATTTATTTACACATTTTGTTTTTCTGAACTGTTGATTTTGAAAGAAAAAAAGGTTCGCGGATTTTTTTGGGCCGTTGAAGTACCAAAACAAATTACAAATTTTCAAAAAAATTTAAAAAATACCCGACAGGAGAGTTGCACAAAAAAAAAACACTTTTCCAGCAGGCGCTACAAATCACACTTTTTTTGATTCACCCTGTATAAAGAACTTTTGAAACAATTTAAACAACTAGGCACCTTTATTTCAACTTTAAATTGTAGCTCTATCTGTAAGTATTTTCTCGTCGTACAATTTAAAACAATACATTTATAATCAGAAATAAATCCGGAATAAAGGACCTCACTAGTCTCCTGGAGTTTGTAATAACTCTTGTAATAATAGAGATAAATGGTGCTAACTTTGCACCTATATTCTTTTAATCAATAAGGGGCATAAAAAAATTTCAAATTTTTTTTTTCTTGATCAGGGGCGTAGAAAGGGGGGTATTTGGCCCAAAACAGGTATTTATATATATAAATATTTTTTGCCGATGTATCATTATTGTTTTCAAGATTTTAGGTCTGACAGAATATTAGACCATGACAAAATAGCCTAACAAGGACAGATTCAGCTTGCAGGAGGAGCCCTGTATCGTCCAGGGGCTAAAAAGCCAACAGTCAGGGGGGTCCTTTGATCCACATCAGACTCCTGAAAAATGAAGAGGAATCAGTGCCAATAATGCATTAAATAAAAAAAGGCAAGTAAAATTCTAAAAACGTTTTGTAGTTATTTGAATTGATAAATCATAAATATATACTTCTTCAGGGGCATTAAGAGGAAAAATATCACTAAACACTCCCCTCCTGGATTTCATTAGTCTAAAAGTAAGAAAATAATAATTTTATAATATTTTAAACCATACAATCCTTTAGGAAGTGTCTTCAATAGCTTAAAGATCCAAAA